ACTGCGCTGGGCCTCTCCTGACCCGGGCCTCAGTCTCTGCACCTGACAAATGGGGGCGAGCCCTCCTCCGTGACATGCGTTGTGTGGAGCCGAGGGCGCTGACACTTGGGCTTCCCAGGGCCCAGGGAAGCCTGTCCCCCACCCTCCGGGAATTCTAAATTTGTAGCAGATGGTTGGGTCCGAGAGGCCAGCTTGGCCGGGGCTGAGAGAACGTCACCCAGCTTCTGGGCACATTCGAGAGCAGCTCTGTGGCGGGAGCTGATGAGCTCTGTGATAAATGAGTCCCTAAATGAATCCTTACATCATGGAGTGGAGTGTTTTTGGTTAGCCTTGCGAGGAGGACGGGGGAGATGGAGGTTAGGGAGGGCTGCGGGGAGACACCCGGCCGCCTGTGCACCGGCCCCCCTTCCTCCTCCCCTCCCTTCCACCAACATCTGCTGAGCCCCTTCTGTGGACAGGGCTTGTGCTTGCTCAGAGACTACAGGGATGAGGCCAACACAGTCCCTGCCCCTCAACAGACAGGAGGAATAGTCCGATGTGATCAGTACCGTGACAGAGGGAGGCCCAGGAGGCTGTGGGGGGCAGGGTGGCTCAAGCCTGACCTGGAGGGTGGGGGTGGGGGGAAGGCTTTCTCCAGTAAGGCGTGCGGGACAAGCCCACCAGGTAGAAGTGAGCACTCCTGGCAAAGGGAACAGCAGGGGCAACGGTTTCGAGGAATCAAAGGGAAGCCTAGGGAAGCTTTGGGCTGGGGTGTCGGAGGCGGGGGTTGGGGGAGAGGAGAGAAGGCAGCCAGAGGGGGTCGATAGAGCCTGAACGGCCTTACGTCCCAGCCTAGGGAGCTCAGACGTTATTCTGAGGCCCCAGGGAGAGTCGGGGCAGGGTTTTCCCAAAGAGGATGTCTAGGGCTGAAGTGGGGTGAGTGGGTCAAAGGGGCCGGTAGTAGGAGTAGGGGTGTGTGGAGGAGGGTCCCCAATTGCTCAACACTGCCTTTATTTACTCCCCCAAGGAGTGCTTCTTGAGGCCTGCTCACCCCCCTCCATAGCCCCAAGCCGGCTAGCCCCTCCGTGGTGCTCACGCAGTGCTCCCGCCTGGAGAACACAGGGAGAGAGCAGGGCAGCTTGACGGGATTCCTTTGTGATGAGCCCTCCCGCCCCGTGACGCAGTGCTCTGCTGCCCTCTAGCGATGCCTGGAGCCTCACCCCTGCGGGAGCCCGCCAGCTTCCAAGATACTCTGAGTCCCACCCCTGCTTCCTCCTACCCGCCAGCCCCCACCCCAGCCACCTGCCAGACCTTCCTTCCCTCTGTCCCTCCCTGCACCGCGGGGAGTCCCACTGCTCCTGGGGGAAATGTACAGTTGAGGACAGGCCCGGGACAGGGTGAGGAAGGGAGGGGGCCGCAGACAGACTCAGCCCCAGCTGTGGCGACAGGCAGCGCCGTGGTCAGTGAGGGGTACCGCTGGGTGGGGGCCCAGGCATGTGTCTTTCACAGTCTCAAATGAACAGACAGAGATGGCATTTACCATTTACTCATGTCACTAGCGCCATGGTCACAGTCGCTACGATGGTGGTGGTGGCAGGGGCTATTTCTGCGGCTCTTGGTGGTGATGGTAGAATCCAGTAGGGATGGGATTGCCGTGACGGTGATGGTAATGAGGACACAGAGGAAGGTGACAGAGCTGGTGGCTGGTACGGCAGAGGCCCCTGGCCCTGTCCTTGTGCAGTGTACACTCTGCTTTGTTAGGCACACACCCAGGATGGAGAATTCTGGACTGCTGGATAGGCACAAGCTTAGCTCACTAGATAAAGCCAGTTTTCAGAACATGGCTGTCTTTACACTCTTACCTGTAACGGGTGGGAGTTCTAGATGTTCCAGATCCCCACAAAAGCTCAGTATTGTCTGTTCACTAATGGATCCCAAGGGCTGAGAAGCCTCGCACATAGAGGAGGCTTTGTAAAAATCTGCGAAGGGCTCCTGGATGGCTTGGTTGGTTAAGCGTCTGACTCTTTTTTTTTTTTTTTTCAATGTTTTAGTTATTTCTAGGTGAGAGAGAGAGAGAGAGACAGTGTGAGCAGGGGAGGGTCAGAGAGAGAGGGAGCCACAGACTGAAACAGGCTCCAGGCTCTGAGCTGGCAGTCAGCACAGAGCCCGACGCGGGGCTCGAACCCACGAACCGTGAGATCATGACCTAAGCGACGCTTAACCTACTAAGGCACCCAGGCGCCCCAAGCGTCTGACTCTTAATTGCGGCTCAGGTCATGATCTCAGGGTCGTGAGATTGAGCTCTGTGCCAGCATGGAGGCTGCTTAACATTCTCTCCTTCTTTCCCTCTGCCCCCTCCCTGCTCACACACATTCTCTCTCTCAAAAAAAAAAAAATTATACATACATATATATAAATCTGCTGAATGAACTCACAATTTAAAGTTAGCCACTGTCCTTACTCGCTGTTAGAGAACGAAACTAGAACTTCACTGTTGCTCATGGACATTGGGTGATGTACACATTCTGACCCAGGTTGGGAACCCTTGTGCAAAAGTCACGCCAAACAGCCCATCAAACCCCATCACGCGCATATCCCTTGTCGTGGCATTTTTCTCAAAATCCCTTCAGTGTGGCTTATCTTGGTCCAGCTCGAAGAGGGACAGCAATTTGATGAAACACAAAGCACACGAAAATGTGAACGACTCGTCGTCCTTACTCCTTTTAGGGACATTTTTATTTTTAAGTTTATTTATTTATTTATTTATTTATTTATTTAGAGAGCACATGCATGCAAGTGGGGAAGGGGCAGAGAGAGTGAAGGAGTGAGAGAGAATCCCAAGCAGGCTCTGCACCACCAGCGCAGAGCTGGACGCGAAGCCTGGACTCACGAACCACAAGATCATGACCTGAGCCGAAGTTGGACGCTCAACCGACTGAGCCGCCCATGCGCCCCTTAGGGATATTTAAAGGAGCAGCTTGTAAACTTACGGGGTTTACAGCTGGAAAAGGCAACCTGCCCTAGCAGACAGCACGGGAGACCAGTGCCAACCGGTTCAGAGCTCAGGGCTGTGCTCAGTTCCACCGTTAACAGCTGCTTTCCCCTTAGACATGTCCCCTGCCCACCTCTCTCTTCTTCCATTTTTTTCATCTGTAAAACACGAGGAGTTGTTCTTGTCCTCTCCGCCTCAAGGATTTTTTTAAAAATGTATAACAGATTAAGGAACTTCACAGTTGATAGAAATCTTGGAGATCATCTAGGGACTTTTGCTTCTGAATAATTTTTTCCAGTTTATGAATCACTTTCATTTACTATGAATTACTTTCATTCTCATTAAAACCTCAGAACAACTATGGGAAAGCATTAATCTCTTTTGATAGGAAGGAAAGAGGTTAAGAAAGGGGGGATTACTTTTTTCTTTTTTTAAAATATTTACTTATTTACTTTTGATAGAGATTGAGAGTGAGTGAGCACAAGCTGGGGAGGGGTAGAGAGACAGGGAGAGAGAGAATCCCAAGCAGGCTTTGTGCTGTAGGACAGAGCTCAATGTGAGGCTCGAACTCACCACGATTGAGCTGAAATCAAGAGTCGGCCGCTTAACCGGCTGAGCCACCCAGGTGCCCTGAAAGGGGGAATTACTTGCCCAAGTAACAGAGCTGGGGGCTCTACCTAAGTCTCCCTATAGATCCACCTAGAAGGTCCCATAATCAAAAGCTTAACTAGCTCTTGCTTGTAGTCCTTCAGTGCATGGGGAGCTCACTGCCACCCAAGATAAACCACTCTTTAGTTGGATGGCATTGATAGTTGGCTATCACTTGTGGTGGAATAGAGCGTGTTATATTGAGGGAGGGTGATTATTAAAGCTTTCGTGCTAATGTGTGTCAGAGAGGTTTACGGAAATAGTCAGAAAACATACAGCAACAGTCAGAATGGCGATGATAATAATAATGCCTGCCTGATGGTGTCACTTCCCTGTTTGCAACCCTTCAATGGCTTCCTGGTTCCCTGAGGAGGGAGTCCAGACTCCTTGACGTGCCCTCCGTGAGCACAGCTGAGCCTCAGACCACCTCTGCATGCCTCGCACATCTTCCCACCCACCAGCCTTCCTGCAATGTGCTTCCTCTGCCAAGAACACCCTCACCCACCACCTTTATTTACCTCCCTGCTCCTACAGGTCTCTCAACTCCGCTCCCTCCCCCCACCCCGCCCATCCCTGTGTACTAGATTGTTCTTACTTGTCTCCCTAACAGGACTACGGGATTCCTTGAGTCGGTGCTCAGCACGGACACTGCCACTGAACGGGCGATTGCCCCTCACCCCCAGCACCCACGAAGACCTCTCAGCCAGATCAGGAGAGGGTTAAACGACTGCTCTGGGCTTAAATCAGCCTTGGCACTGGAGAAGCAGGTGGCCCAATGGTTAACCAGATTCTTTCCGGGCCTGTTTTCATTCGGCTTAGGAACTCAATCCAGCCAGGTCTTCCTAGAGCTGAAACCCCGGCCCCTCTCACCCCCTTAGGCGCCCCCCTCCCTGGGCCCCCTGATGCCAAATAGCTGGATCCTCCAGGGAGGGGAAGCGGGGGAGGAAGACAGCACAGATGGAGGAGGTGTGGAGTAGGAAGGGCCTGGTCCCTGCTCCGCCGGGCTTGCTGGATGGCCTTGGTGGGCACTCCCGTCCCTGCCTCCCCACCGCCACCTGTGTGCTGGGGAGGCTGGTGTGGGTGGTTGCTCCTGATAGGAATGGGCAAGAGCAAGGGACCCTCAGACTCCAGAACCCCCTAGCTCGGGGTCCCCTTGCTGGAGAGAGACTTTTTCCACCACAGGTGGGGGTGGGTAAATCTTTAACTAGCTAGTCCTGGGCAGGCCCAAGCCTTTCCGGATGGATGGCTGCCTGAGAAGGGGAAAGGGGGTGGGGGGGTGTACGGTGTGCAGAGCCAGTCCCAGTGTGGCGGAGAAGGGAGGGTAGGGGGGAGAGAGACGAATGAGACTCGGGCGGAGCTAACTCCGTGTGCAAAGCAGGACATGGAAGAACGCGGGTCTCCCGACGGGTAAGCGGACGTTCTGGGAGGTAAGAGGAGCCGCTGGGTCCAGGGATGGTAACTCACGCTGCTGCCATAGGGACCCCGCGCGGAGCCTGGAGCAGGGGCCAGAGGGGCCAGAAACGCCCATCCAGGTGGTACTCAGGTAAGTATAGGCAGGCTGGGCGGGAGCGAGGAGGGGGGGCGAACGGTGACAGGCCCGATGGCGTCATGGGGATGGACATCTGCCTTCCCAATGGGCCCCAGAGTGCGTCCCATGAGCGCGGCGGAGCTGCGTCGAGGGGAACGGAGCGCGCTGCACTGCTCGGGGACCCGGACTCTGCAAGTGAGGAATCCCTCCCCCCCTCCCCCCCCCCTGCAACCCAACCCCTTCGAAAACCTACCCAGTGACCCCTCGGTCCCTTCCCCCACGCAGCTGGATCCCAGGCGCCAGCCTCTCCCCCCGCCCCCTGCGCCCCGCCCTCCCTGGCCCCGCCCCCACAGTGCCCCGCCTCCTCCCCAGGTGAGCCCTCCCGGCGGCGGCCCCGAGGTGGCGTTCCGCTTCGGCGCCGTGCTGGACGGGGCGCGCACGCAGGAGGACGTGTTCCGGGCGTGCGGCGTGCGGCGCCTGGGCGAGCTGGCGCTGCGCGGGTGAGTGGGGCCCCGGCACAGCCCCCCGCCCCTCGCCCCTCCCCCCCGCCGGGGTCCGCCGCGGGGGTCCAGCCGCGCCTCTGCCGCCCGCAGCTTCTCCTGCACTGTCTTCACCTTCGGCCAGACGGGCTCCGGGAAGACCTACACCCTGACCGGGCCTCCGCCGCAGGTGGGCCACCTACACCCTGACCGGGCCTCCGCCGCAGGTGGGCCGAGCGCACACCGAGCCCCCGCGGGTCGGGGATGGGGTCTTCCAGGAGGAAGGGCCCTCGTGCGGCCCAGCCCCCTTTGTTTGCAGACAAGGAAACCTAGGAAAGGCGAGGTAGAAGGCGCTTTCCCAATTTGGAGCTACTTTTGTCCGCCTTTCTTAGCGGCTCTCAGCTTCTTCATCTGTAGACGGGTGGCTAGTTCTGATCGAGGACTACATTCGATGTTGTACAGGCACTTGGTTTCTGGCGCAGAGTAGGGCAGTGGTAGTTATAACTCTGTGTGTGTGTTGGGGTGATCATGACCCAGCCCGTGGCTCAGCTGTTTCTGCTCCCAGGGCGAGGGGGTGCCCGTCCCCCCCAACTTAGCCGGCATCATGCAGAGGACCTTCGCCTGGCTGTTAGACCGGGTGCAGCACCTGGGTGCCCCTGTCACCCTCCGCGCCTCCTATTTGGAGATCTACAATGAGCAGGTGGGGGACTGAGATTGAATAGCCCTCCAGGTAAAAGAGGCATTTCTCTCCAAGGAGCTGGGGTCAAGGGACAGAAGAGGCTGGGGGACTGTTGTCGGTAAGGTCTGGGGGTGGATGGAGCACGGGCGCAGGGCCCCTTGCCTCACAGGCCACCCTCATCTCAGGTTCGGGACCTACTGAGCCTGGGATCTCCCCGGCCGCTCCCTGTTCGCTGGAACAAGACCCGGGGCTTCTATGTGGAGCAGCTGCGAGTGGTGGAGTTCAGGACTCTGGGGGCCCTGATGGAACTAACGCAAATGGGTGTGTGCTGCTTCAGGGGTGCTTTGGGGTGTGGGACGCCCGTTCCCCAGCTGTTCACTGATGGCGCACTCGGAGCCCCTTGACTGGGGTTGTGGGCTGAGATGACCGAGTGGGGGGGAAGGGACAGCAGACCACAAGTCAGACACAGCCCGGGGATGTCCCCTCACCCCACCCCAGGCCTGCAGTCTGCTGTCCTCTGGCTGTCCAAACTCTTGGAATCCTGATGCTGGGGCCATGATTGGGTAGGGGTCAAGGTCATGGTCTCTTCTCCAGACCAGAGTCTCTGCCTCCATCCGGTTCCATATTTGCCCCTTGAGAACATCTCCCCACCTCAAGGCTCTCCCCTTCCTGTCTCTTCCCCTCAACACAGCACACCACATCCCTCTTCCCCCCTCAGCCCTCCAGACCCTTCCAGTTTCTTGAAGGCAAAGGTCGTACCTCTTAGGCTAGCCTGTGGTGTCCTTCCATTCCAGCCTCATTCATTTATTCATCAAATATTTGTTGAACACCTACTCTGTGGCAGGCTGCAGGGACACGGGGACCCTGGGTTCTGGCCTGAGTTGTACCACACCCGGCAGCTGATCTCTCTGCCTGGGTTTCTCTCCCACCCTCCATGCGGCAACAGGAGAGATGTTTATAAAATGTGCACCTGATGGACATTCTTCCCCTCAGTTCTCTCCATCTTTGTTTCACCTGTCCGTGCCGGAGGCGGGCCAGTAGCCCACCACTCTGCTATCCTGCCTCTGTGCCTTTGCACACGCTGGCCTCTCTCCCAGGAGGCCCTCGCTGCTTTTTCTTTATTGGTGACCACCTGCTCTTCCTACCAGCTCCTGCCCTTTCCCCACTCTAGGTCTTAGCCGTCGAAGGAGCTCAGCTCACACCCTGAACCAGGCCTCCAGCCGAAGCCACGCCCTGCTCACACTCTACATCAGCCACCAAACCGTGAGTGTCCCCGCCGGGGGAAGGAGCTGGCCCAGGACCACCTGCAAGAGTCTGCCTCTGGGTGTATGAGCCAACGTGGGCACTTGCAGGGGGTAATAGTGCCTCTGGTGGGGACAGCCGCTCCCAAGTCCCCATCGACCTTGATCCTCCCACCCCCACAGAGGCCTCCAGTGGACCCTGAGGCGCCCCCCACTGGCGGAAAGCTGTGTTTTGTAGACCTGGCTGGCAGTGAGAAGGTGGCGGCCACCGGATCCAGGGGGGAGCTGATGCTTGAGGCAAACAGCATCAACCGCAGCCTCCTGGCCCTGGGTGAGACGTGTGGCCGGCCGGACTCACCTCCTGGGTCCCTCCTCTGAGCCTGACCCGGCACTGTCCGCAGTGGGGGAAACCAGGGCAGTGGTCGTGCGGGAGAGCCGGGAGCTGGGACTGGAGCCTCCCGCCTCCTCGTGGCCCCAGCCTGCTCCTGACTGGTGCCTCCCCTCTGGGCACTTTCTTCGTGAGTCCATAAACCCTGAGGGTTTGTCAGGGCACATTTGAATCCGGGGGGTAGAAACACTAAGGTGCAGAGGATGCGCCCTCAGATTTTCAGCCTGTCCCGTGTGCAGTTGGGAAGACTGGGGCCCAGTGAGGGGGAGGGGAGCTGACCCTCCCCCCCCCCCCAGGTCACTGGGCCTTGGGAGCCTTCAGGGCTGGGCCCCCGGCCTTCCTCGGTGGTACGTGTGGGGAGATTCTCAGGGAACCCTTCTTCATTCAGCCCATTTGTCAGACATTTCCTGAGCCCCCGCCGCTAAGTGCCAGGCCCTTTGGTCAGCTTCTTCGATGGCCCTGGGGATCAGGGGCAGACAGGCCCATCTGAGCCATCGGGAGCCCCGGTCTGGTGGCAGAGGCCAGGCTGACTGCGGACCAAGATCTCAGGTCGGAGAGATTTTTCGAGTCACACAGGCCTGGGTGGAGGTCCCAGCTCTGCACGTAGCAGCTGGGTGGCCTTGGGCAAGAGGTATAACCTTGCCGGCCTCATTGTCCCCACCCAGGGCACTGCATCTCCCTGTTGCTGGACCCGCAGCGGAAGCAGAGCCACATCCCCTTCCGAGACAGCAAGCTCACCAAGCTCCTGGCGGACTCGCTGGGGGGGCACGGGGTCACCCTCATGGTACCCGAGAAGAGCTGGTGGGGAGGGAAGGCTCCTGAGGGTGGGGGTCCTGGAGAGGGAGGAGCACTCAGGGGCCGCCCTCCCCAGGTGGCCTGCGTGTCGCCTTCAGCCCAGTGCCTGCCTGAGACTCTCAGCACGCTGCGATACGCAAGGCGGGCTCAGCGGGTCACCACTCGGCCACAGGCCCCCAAGGTGAATGGAGGGAGCCCCGGGCAGAGGGGACGGGTCGGGGACATGGTCGGGGACCAGGCAGGAGATGGAGCCTGAGTCGGTGTCTGGGAAGTCTGGGGTGAGTCACGGTTGGGATTAGAGTCAGAGTCCTGATGACGGGGTCATGATTGGGTAGGGTGGGGTCAGGGGTCATGGTCAGGATTAGGGCATGTCTAGGGGTGTGGTCTGACTTGGAATATGATTCAGGGGATAGCCAGGATCCCAGTTGGTACCGTGATTAAGGCTGAGTGACTTGGGGTCTGACTTCATGTCTTGTGTGGGGTCAGAATCTGGGCCAAGGCTTGGACGGAACCCAGTTTGAGGTTGGATCTGGAGCAGGGTCCGGGCCCCCGGCTACGGCTGCCAGGCACTTTGACACCATTAGGTCAGGGTCCCTCCTCCGGATGGATGTAGCCTTGTGCCAGGACGCAAGGCCGGCAGGTGAAGCGTGGGCTAGATTTCAGGCTCTGCTCGCCCACCGGCATGTACAGTGCACAGCTTGTACAGCCGTAAACAGCAGCTCTGGGCCTCTGTCTGGGCAGTCACCTGTGGCAAAGCAACCCCAGCGTCTGGAGATGGAGATATTGCAGCTTCAGGAGGAGAACCGTCGCCTGCGCTCCCAACTGTGCCAAATAGACCCCAAGGGTATGAGCTCGCCGGGGGCAGGGGTGAGGTGAGGATAGGGTCTGGGGCTCCCGTGGATCCAGCCACCGTCCCTTCTCCCTGCAGCCTCAGGGCTCAGTGGGGCACGGGTAGCCTGGGCCCAACAGAACCTCTACGGGATGCTACAGGAGTTCATGCTGGAGAATGAGAGGCTGCGGTAGGGCTCCCCCCCCCCCCCAGCCAGGCGACTCTGTGCCCTGCCCCTCACTTCTGCGCCGTTCCTGCCAAGCCACCCCTCCCCTCACCCACCCCCTCCCCGGGCGACCGTGGCCACCCGTCCGTCCCTCTCTTGCCTCCTGGAGCTTGCACCCCGCCGCAAGAGGGCTGCCTGATCCCCCTCCTGGTGTCTCTGTCTCCTGCCCCCTTCCTGGGGCCTGCCCTTCCCAGGAAAGAAAAGAGCCAGCTGCAGAGTAGCCAGGCCCGGGCCCGGGATGAGCAGCGGGTCCTGGCCCAGCAGGTGCACGAGCTGGAGCGGTGAGCCTGGGGGCGGGCAGGCCTCGGGACAGAGGGCAGGTGGGAGAGTGAGGGTGGCTCCGTGACCCGGTCAGAGGCCTGCCCTCTGGGTCCAGACCCCCTGGGTTCAGACTGCAGCTCTGCCCCTTCCTGGCTGTGAGGCCCGGGTGGCCTGGCTCACTTCTCCCTGCCCGGCCTTCTTCCTGTTCTGTGAAATGGGGACCCTGTAGTTGTACCTGACAGGGTGGGCTTCGAGTCCGGACGGAACGGGCTCCCGCGTAGAACGTGGAGAACGGTGCCCGGCACGTAGCGAGCACTCCAGGAGGGTTTGTTAGAAGGGGGCCTTGGGGTGGCTCTCGGACCGCAGGCACACACCCCACCGTTCATTCCAGGCGCCTCTTCTGTGCCTGCTCCCTTGCCCAGCCAAACCCCGGCCCAGCCCCTCCATGCCCCTGTGTGACGGCACCGGCTCGCCCCTGCCGCCCCTGCCGTGTGAGTGTCTGCCCGGCCTGGGGCGTGGGGGTGGGGGGGTGGGGGCGGCAACGTGACAAAGCCGCCTACGTGCCCCGTTGCAGGCCCCGCCGCCCCTCTGCTCCTGCCCCTGCTGTCACCTGTGCCCCTTGTGCCGAGCGCCGCTGGCCCACTGGGCCTGTCCACACAGGGGGCTCCACCTGCCGCAGGTAGGAAAGGCCGCGGCGGGGCGAGGGAGGCGGGGCGAGGGAGGCTGTGATCCTGGAGCTCCAGGCTCCCAGGCTGGATAGTCGGGGGGAGGGCCTGGCTTCGGGCCCCCCCCCAGGGTTCAGAAAGTCTGTTTGCCTTGCCTCCCCTCACCCCATCCTGCCTTCTTTCAGGAACTCCCTGTCCCCCTTGCTCACTCATCACTCGCACGTGACTCGCTTGCGAGTTCGCGGACTCACGTGCTCACTCATTCATTACCTGTTCCCTAAGCGCCTAGCGTCGTGCCACCCTCTGTTCTGGGCACCGGAGATTCAAACGTGCAGCAGGCGTGGTTCCCGGCCTCAGGGAGTCCCTCAGCCCCGCGGAGGACAGAACAAGGACCACCCACTGCCCGCAGAGAAAGTGACCGAGACCCTGCACTTTGATGCCCACCTGACATTCTTGGTGTCCCGTGGGGCATGTGTGGCACCGGGAAGGTGGGGCACGTAGAGGCAGGGTCACCCAGTGCGGGCTCTGGTCTCTCCCGCAGGTGTTTGGCCCTGAGGCCCCAGGCGGCATGCCCCTGTCTGCCCAGCCCCCACCCTGGGCACCCCCGTGCAGTCCTGGCTCTGCCGAGCGCCCGAGAGAGAGGTGGGCCCAGCCCCGGGGCACTGGAACGGGGGAGGAGGAGGCCTGGGAACTCGAGGCTCACCTCCCACCACCCAACCCACCCCGGCCCAGGAGTCCCGGCGACTGGACTCGGACCCGAGTCCTGGCGGAGATGCTGATGGAGGAGGAGGTGGTGCCCTCCGCTCCGCCCCTGCCCGTGGGGCCCCCGAACACCTCACCAGTGCTGAGAGGTGAAGGAGAGAGGGAGGGAGGGGCCCCTGGTGTGTTTGGTGACCTCGGGCCAGAGCCCACCCTCTCCAGACCTCAGTGTCCCCACTTCTGAAACAGGGTGTGTGGGGAGGCAAACTGTGAGATCCTCAGTTTCCGAACTTGGAGTTCTCTTCCTAGGGCCACTGGATGCCCAGGCGCGTGCGGTACCCCGTGGGGTTTGTTCAGGGGAGGGGAGCTGCCTGAGGCTTCCCCACAGGGTGTTAGGGCGCCCAGAGGTCTGGGGGGGGTCCTGGGGGAGCACAGGCCTCGAGCCCCCCTGTGGTCCTTAGGCGGGGCTGCAGTTCCAAACCTGGCCCGGAGACTGGAGGCCCTCAGAGACCAGATTGGCAGCTCCCTGCGACGTGGCCGGAGCCAGCCACCCCCCAGCAAGGGTGCACAGAGCCCCGGCCTGGCCCTCCCCCCCTGCTGAGGGCAAAACAGAACCCCCAGAGACCACCGTGTGGCCCTGGTTTGGGCTCCGCGCTCCTGGGCTTCAACCTCCCCATCTGCTTCCCTCTGTGACTTAGCAGGGCAGGGGAGAACTCCTGAGGGCTGCGGGTCGGGGCTGTTGGGCAGTTTCGGGGAGGGTGCCACCCCAGACGGTGGGAAATGTGACTGGATTTGGGAGAAACCAGGCAGCAGGTGATCAAAGAGACGAATAAAGAGAGGTGTCAGCCCCAAGGCTGGTTGTTCCTGTCTCCAGGTGGTCAGGTGCTTCCGCGTGGGGGAGTCCCAGACAGGGGGGTCCTCAGGGGAGGCCAAGGAGGAGGCAAGGACTCTTGGCAAAGGTGCGTGCCCCCTCTGATCAGGAATATTCCAGGTTCCCGTGTCCTTCACATAGTATACAAGTTTTAACTGAGCAACTACTACATGCCACTGGGCAGAGGTGGGGAAATGGGACGGTGAGTGTGACCATGCAGGAGGCCCGAGGGACACACGTCCAGGCTCACTCGGCTGTGTATGTGCTGCTGCCGGAGGGCTCCTGGGGTCTGAGTTTGGATGCCACTGGCTTGCTGAGACCTTGGGCAGACCTGGAACCCTCCTGGGATCACTTTCTGGTGCTCAGCCAGTTAGAGAGAGTGGGGTGAGGCTCCCTGTCTGTTGAGTTCAAGTGCGGGCCAGAAGGTGACGAATATCAGGATTCCTGGCAGAAGTACGCAGTGGGATGCAAAGGGGCTACAGTTAGGGGGACATCCCCACGTGGCGTAAGACATTGGAGGCACTAGTGGGAGGACCTCATCAGGGAAGGAGGGGACTAATCTAACTCGGGACTCATCTAACTCTTCCATTTTATAGTTGGGGAAACTGAGACCCACGGGGCTCATTCCTTCCTTGCTCACTCATTCATTCATTCAGCCCACTGGCATCAAGGCCCGTGGGGGGGGGGGGTGAACAGGACCGACGGGACAAGCAGGCTTTGCCGAGGAGGCTCGCAGTGGCCAGGTAGTGAAAGGCAAGACGTGGGACTGGGCACCAGGGGTGTTCAATCACGGACACTTAGTGGAAGGCCAGCATTCACGGACGCAGAGTCCGGGACGTGGCGAAATAACCAGACGCCACAGATGGCCGGGCTCCGCAGAGTAGGCTGTGGTTAAGTTCACACACGGAGCCACATGCATTCAAATCGTGCCTCCTCGCTTAACTGTGAGTGAGCCTGGGCAAATGGCTTCCCTGCCCTCAGCAGAATAGACGCAGCGATAGCACCCCCTCCCTGGACGGCCCTGGAGACCGAGTCCACGTATCGATGGAAAGAGTAGAGCACAAGGCTTTGCGTGTTGCAGACCATTTAGCCCAAAGCAGCATTCAGCCAATAGGACCATTTGATGAGATCAACAAAAATTCGTTCAGAATGGCAGAAAAAAATTCGTTCCACAAATACCTATCAAGAGCCCACTTTGGGCCAGCCTTGAGCACGGCGTAAGAATCCTTCCCTTCACAGGACACACACAGGAAGCGAGAAAATGGGCAGAATGCACGGGTGCTCGGTGATCAGTGCCATGGAGCACAATATGGCCAGGAGGTCCCTCTGCCGGGCTGGGTGCAGTTCTAAAGAGGGGGATCAGGATGGGGCTCATGCAGGGGACGTTCATGCAGCAACCTGAAGGAGGGCAGGAGCCTGGGTAATGCCATGAAGTCACTTTTTTCTGCTCTAGGTAATTTTGGTGCCCCCTCTGCCTGGGTGGCTCGGCAGGTCTGAGCGTGGGCTCCTCTCCTCCCTGGAGCCCTTATCTCACTCACAGTATCATTGGGGCCAGCTTGCTGGGAGGCCTTCGGCTGCAGGCGGGGAAGGCCCCTGGCACCGAGCGTGAGAACCTTCCTCAGCTGCCTCGGGAGGGTAGACAGGGACCACCCAGGGGGACCCTGGCTTTTGCTGGTTCATTTGTGTTTGGATGATTCCTCCTCCCGCTGGATAGAGCCAGCCATGGTTTTCCAGTCTCCTGGTCCAGCTCAGCAGGCTCCCCCACTTAACTTCCTCAGAGACAGACTCAAGGGGACCAGTCTCCAGCCCCCCATCGCATAGGCCGTGTGTCCGTCTCCTGGTCCACACCCTCACTCTGGAACCGCCTCTTGTCCAGAATCCCGAAACCCGGGAGGAATTCCAGAGGACCCTGGTAACGTATCCAGACGCTTCAAGTCCAGTGGTCCTTACTGAGAGCTTGAGAGCTCCAGAGGATACTTCTGGAACCCTGAGAGCTGTAGGCCTTCCCCAGGATTTGGGGGTGGTTCTCTGGCCCCATGAGATAGGGTAGTCATTCTCCAGAAACCTAGAAGGTCTCTGGTACATCCGAACTGAGGGAAGCTCTTGGAAATCCTGAAGCACTGTAGGAATTTTCCAGAATCCCAAATCCTTAAATGGCCTCTTGGAAATTTTAAAACTCTGTGTAGAAATTGGGAGGGTTTCTCTTGCCTTGTTAGCTCGGGGTGGAGGTGTTCAGCAGAGCTGGCAAATCGAGAGATCCATCTCAGTGTCTGGAGCCCTGGTTGAATTCTCCAGAACCTCAGGGGCCCCACCTGTCAGCCAGTGTGGGAACAGCAGCGTGGCTGGAAGCATCACGAGAGGACAAGCTTTAGGAAGGACATGCCTGTGGGTCCTGGTGTTTCCAAGCCAGGTCCTGGCGATCCACCCCAGGGTAGACCCCAGCAGGCGCAGAGGGCCTGAGCAAGTGTGGAGACCCTGCTGCCAGGGACGTCGCACTCCGTCCCAGCTTTGGCCACACCAGCCTTCTGTCACCTCGTGCACGTGTCCTGCCTTGTCTCAGGGCCTTTCTTCCCTTTGTCTAGTGACACATTTGACCCAGGCTCATACTCAGTTTTGTAACCGCACGTTGATCTTGGCCCCTTTGAGGAGGGGTATCTTGTGTTCCCTTAGATGCCTTTTCCCATGGTCGGCTCCTTGTTGAGCTTCCAAAGATGCCTCTTATGTTAATGGTGGGGAAGGCCTGTGTAGGTGGGGGCGTCTGGCTGTGAGAGGAGGGGCAGCCACTGGGAGTTGTAAACAGGCCATGCGCTGGTTCAAGACCAGGACCCGAGTCAGGAGACGGGGGTTCCAAGCCTGCTCAGCGACAGACCTACTGTGTGAGCCATAGGATCCACGCCCTGGCCATCGCTGGCGGGCCGGCAAGGAAGACCTTTGCAGGTGGGCCGGCACTGTCATCCTCAGGGGTCTTCATTCAGCCTGGGCTCTGATCACACGGTCTGTCACTTGTCACAGCTTCACTAGGTCCCGCTTCAAGGCCAGGCCCGTTCTACCGGTGGCCGGGGTGAAGGTCAGGTGATCTCCAAGCTGAACGTTGGGCAAACCCACCCCCTCTCTCAGCCTCAGTCTGCCCAACTCACAGCTGTGAGAGCCTGGGCAAGGCAGGTAACCTCTCTGGCCCCCAGTCTCCTCCTCGGTAAAGTGGGGATAAGATTGATTTATCCAGTGAGAAGTTGACAAGCACTGATAGAGGATATGATATGAGGACTAAACGAATCCATATAAACCGTGAGGACAGAGCCTGCCACATGGTCAGTGCTATGTAAATGCTAATTATTATTACCGTTACTGTTAATAACGGTGCTTTCAGCATAAACATGCAATGTTCCGGTACTTTCAGAAGAGGAATTATGTCAATATCTGCTCTCTGGTTATTTCAGGCTCAGTGAACTTGTTGATACCCGCTCTGCCGGCACCTTCTTACGAGGTGACTGATTCTTCTGACGTGGATAGTTGCAGGGAGAGGGTGGCCATTTGGGACTGTAGCCCAGTGCCAGACCCAGGGAAGGGTCCCTGCTGCCCTCCCAGGGCTAACAGAGAGATTCATTTGTCTTTGTTGAGCAAGAGCCAGTGGGACTTTCCAGAGTCCAGCTTGCCTCGAGGTCTCGGAAGAGAGCTGTTTTCTCCATCTGCGGACATTGGGTGATATCAGCTCAGGCAGTCGGAGGTCAGGGCAGGTCCCTGGAGGCCCCGCTTGAATGGGCACATAAGACCAGCCTCCGAAGAGCAGGATAATGCCTCTGTCATCTTCCTGGACACGAGCAGGTCTTTGGAAGTTCCCTCCTGTGGGAAAGCCCTCTCTTCAGAGGGCAGACAGTGGGCCACACACTGGATCTCAAGGACCCTCAGCTCCACAGCGTCTCACTTTGCGAGCCACTTCTCCAGGCTAAGCCCACCTTTCCCACAAGCAGGAAGCTAGGCTGGCAACCTCCAAGGGCACTCTTCCCTCCTCTCCTTCAGGGAGCGAGAACACAACCTGTCCCCTGTCATTTAATCCACTACATCCCATGAGCTCTGATCAACCCCGTTTGATGAGGGAGAAACTCAGATCCAGAAAGGTGAAGTCACTCAGGATCAGGCAGGGGGCAGGGGGCACAGCCGGGACCAGGACCCGGGTCCATCTGGGAGACAGTTAGTTCACCTGCTTGACCATTGCTCTGCTCCATGAAGCCTGGGAGTCTTCCCAGCCATGATACACAGATGAACTGAAAACTGGGGACACAAGGAAAAGCCACCACAGAGCCAAGGCTCTTTGCTTTTTGGATTGTGCCAGGGAACCTCCCAGTCACTCAGTGATCATTATTTAAGGACTTGGAGTGGTGATTCCAATTCTCCGGCTCCCTCAGCTGCCTTCTACTTGGGTGGTCCTCCCTAGGGTCTGACCTCCATCCTCCACAGTTCTAATGAGTCCATTGGCCAAGCACCTGCGAGGTGGCCAGCATACTGCTGGGCCCCAGGGAGGAAGAGCTGGGTCAGGTGTTGGCATGACCTGCACGGGCCATGCTCTTCCCTGGGGAAGGGAGAAGCTCTGGGAGCCTGACTCCTGCACCGAGGACTCTGGTGAAGGGAGATGACCCACCCCTCTGCCCCAGGTGTCTGGAAGAGCATGGCCCAAGGTCCTGTTTATCAGGGTACAGGGCCTGGGAGGCTGGCAGAGTGATGTAGGTGTCAGGGACACAGATCTGAGCTTGAATCACTACTCATTGGCTGGGTGACCTTTGACACCTGTTTACTTGAGCCCTTAGCCTCAGTTTCCCTATCTCTAAAATAGAGCAACCATTGTCGTAAAATGATGGGACCTCAGTGGGATTGAGTAGGATGTGCTCGTGAGGCGCTCAGCATGGGGCCTGGCTGGCACATTGATAGGAATGTAATCAGCCTTTGGGGTCTCGAGCAGGGGTACCCAGGCTGGTTCACTGGGAGAATCAGGAAACGGTTTCTAAAAGGGCCCCCTCTAAGCATCCAGCTCTATAGCTGGGCTGGGGATGGGCAAGGTAGAAGCCGAATGCTTTACACTCCTCAGGGGGTTTTAAGTGGCCTTGGGGCAAGGAAGGCTGGGTTCTAGAGCTGGTTGCAACTTCTGTGGGCCTTTGCTCTAGGCCTCAGGCTCCTGGTCTCTATAGAGCCCGCTGAGCAAACCAGGGTGGGCTTTCCAGAAGTTCTCTGCTGCCCTCTAGTGGACATGGGGCGCTTGCGCCTTCCAGCACTGTGATTCCTGCCCCGTAATTCATTTCCGCTATGCTAAGTGCCTGTGATGACACAGGTCCCTCCAGTATGTACACTTGGGGAGGTGGAAGCACTTTCACAAATGTCCCTCCTTGAGCTCTTATTTCATCTGTGTCTCAGTTTGCAGGTCTAGATGAGGAAGGTGGGGCCGGGGAAGGAAACGACTGCCCCACGGTTGCCCGAGCACGTCACAGGGGCTGGGGCTCATCTGTAGGGAAGAAGTAACAAAGCCTAGAGATAGCTGAGCAGTGAGAACGTCCCTTCTCCCGAAGCAGGTTCTGGGGTCCCCCGTGCTTCCCACCTCCGACTTTGCCGTGAATAGACAGGTCAGAGTGCTGAGTCCAAGGGAGCTGGGCAGAGTCAGGGATCTGGGAGAAGGTCTGGGGCCAGGTACCTCCTCGTGGGGAAGGAAGCTCACCCCACCATCCCCGTGCATCATTAGCAGCAGAAGGCTGACCCTTGACCACGCCTCTGGCCTGAGTCCCACCCAGTGTCTCTGACATCCCTGCTGGTCCAGTCCCCGGGTCCTTCCTTCCTTCTTGGAAAAGCATGTAGGGCATTGCTTTCTGGGCCTCCTGCCTCCACTACCGCCTCAGGGAGCTCCCCCGAATACAAACCTGAGCGGCCATTCCCTTCTGAAAACCTGCTGGCGCTTCACATATGCCCCAGATTAAGGAGCAGACCCCTTGGCCAGGCGTCACAGCCCTGGCTGCTGGGCCGTCTCCCCAGCCTCGCTCTCACCGCTTGTCTCCCCTCCCCCTCCAAGCTCCAGCTCCGTGGTTTTGATGGTTGGTGGGTTGGCTGGTTGGGTTTTGCTTTCCAAATGCATCTCTGTGTCTGTCTCTCCATTGGCCACCTCCACGGCTGCCATTGTCCCTCTTTCCGGAACACCCGTCTTCCCTCCATGGGCCCCTGTGCACTTTCCTCTGGTGAGCCCCTCTCTGGGTTAGACTCCCTCCCCTGGCCGCTGCTCCCCCATCGCTTCAGGGACCTTCTGTCTAATCCTCTCCTCCCTGCCCTGCCCCGGTGGGGAGTGAGGCGGGGAGGTCTGTCTTGTGCTGCCTCCTACCCCCAGCACCAGGCACAGAGTGCAAACTTGGTGAGTGAGTGAGTAAATGAGTAAGTGATGGAGGAAACAGGACACCAGAGCCAGGCCCGTGTGGCCCCCAGCTCGGCCTTGAGCATCCCATTCCCTCCCTGAGCCTCATGTGTTGAAAATGGCCCTGCATTCCTGCTGCAGGGGGCATGTCTGAGGGGCTGAGGCCTCTTGCAGGGATGGGTCCTCCCCCCGCTTCCGGAGGTGGCCTCTTCCTGTGCCCTCTTGGGCTCTGAGGCCCCCAGGAGGCCAGGGGTCCCAGAGCCTCCACCCTCCCACCCCGATGGCCAGAGGGGGAAAGGGGTCAGCACCTCCAGACCGCTGCCGGCCTTGCACCCTATGGCCCAGGGTTAATTTTTAAAAAGCAGCTCAAAGTCCAGATGGGCTCCGGAAGGGTTTGCTCTCTGTGTTTGCTCTGGTTAATAATCTCAGGAGGCCAAACATCCCCAGAGGCAGGCGAAGCGATCAACATCCACGCCTCCGTTCTCCCCCAGGAGAGGCTGTGTGGCTGAATGAACAGTCCTGCTCAAGAGAGACCAGGATTTGTGTCTACCCTTGTGTGCCCTGGCTTTCCTGGGGGGCCTGTGGGGTTGACAACCCTAAGGCAGACACGCTGGGAAGGTCAGGTGAGCCACGATGGGGCTGTGAGCAGCCTGCATAGGAGGGCTCTATTCCTGTCGAGTCATTGCTGTCTCTTCATTTTGTACCAGCTTGGCTTCTCCAAAGACAGAGCGCTGGAGCCCATCACACATATTGGACGGTGGACAGTTTACAGAGCACTTTCCCACACTGCCTCACTTGACCTCTTGGCAGACAGAACGAGGGCTGTTATCTTCAGTTTACAGACGAGGAAAGTGGGCTTCAGAGAGGGAAAGTCATGCACGAAGTTAGCAGAAAAGAAGTGAGGGCTTCCGGTTCCCAGTTCTCTGAACGCCTCTTAAGCCAGACTGCCTCTTACTACCACCAGTAGCCAAACCACAAAAGATCGACAAACTTTGTGAACAAGAGGGAAGGTAATCGTCCCAGAAATCTAAGCAGAGACAGTTGCTGTGATTAAACTTGTAACGGCTTTGAGCTCCCTGGCAGCCAAGGCAAAAAGGAAATGCCATCAGTAGCCAAGCTGTCGGTGACGGGGCAAAGGAAACACACTCACTTAGGAAGAGGACGTGTTTGTACCTGATACTGGTGGAAGAAGGTAGTGGGTGGCTCTTACAGAGGGGACATGACCCATCCTTTGTCGGTGCGCCTGTGCAGAGAAGAATTCCCGGGATCTCACATGAGCACGGGTCTTGCTTTTGGAACCCCCTGTCTGTAGGGGCCATGCCCAGCTGTAGCAGGGGGCTATGGTGAGGGCGGAATGTTCTATGTCAAGAACAGGGAGGAAGTGAGGACAGCAGCTCTGACTGCTGGCAAACAGATCTTCAAGGAAGGACCTATAGCAATCACTGGCAAGAGTTTGAGCTTTGGAGACAAACAGGCCTAGGTTTTTGTTTGTTTGTTTGTTTGTTTTTTTAATATTCTCATTTAAATTGTTTAATGAACACTATAAAGTTCCTTAAGTGCCTGCCGTTAACAAAGCGCCACAACTGGGTGGCTTAAAACAACAGAAATTTAATCTCTCAACAGTTCAGTTGTCAATAGGGCCACATTCTTCCTGAAGGTTCAAGAAAAGAATCCGTGCTTGCCTCTCCCTAGCCTCTGGTGGCTGCGGGCAGCTTTTGGAGTCCCCTGACTTGTCACTGACTCCCATCTCTGTCCTGGTCTTCACCTGGCCATCTTCCCTGGCCGTCCCTCTGTGTCGGTGTGTCTGAGTCTCCCTCCCGTTTCTCTTGCGAAGACACCAGTCATTAGATTGTGGGACCCACCGTCCTCCGGCATGACCCCACCTTAACTAAGGACATCTGCCAATGAGGTCACATTCTGAGGCTCCAGTTGCCCATGAAGTTTGCAGGGGACATTGTTCAACCCGCTGCCAACACATGCAGCACTTACCATGTGCAGACACTGCCTTTGTGCTTCACCAGGCTTGATGCCCGTGACCTCGCAGCAGTGCTGTGAGCCAGGAACTGTTATCCCCGTTAGCTGATGAGGAAGCCAAGGCACTTGGGAGGGAAAGTCACTTGCCCAAGGCCAGCAGGGGCTGCATTCTGCCTCTCGAGCCCGTGCTCTCAACCACCACCCAGTGCCTCCCGCCCCAGCAGCTCTGTGTCCCAGCAGAGCGGCCCTGGGCCAGGCACCTTACGCCTCGGAGACTCAAGTCCTCTGTCTTTAAAGGGAAAAAAGCACCGACTTCCTGGGGCTGCGGTGGGGACTGAGTTCAGTCCGGTGGCGTGTGTAAAGTGTTGGTACACAGTGGGCGCATAGTAGCTTCTCAGTGGATGGGAGCTGCTCTCATCATCATTGTTCCTGCTGGTATTTGCTAGGGCCGCGGGAAGCCAGGAGTCAGACCGGGAGCTCTGGGGACAGGAGGCCTGAGTTCTAGTCTGGGCTATGCCTTGGCCTTCCTGCGTGGTCTCTGCTGTGTCATTTCTTCTCCCTGGGTCTCGTTTCCCACGCGGGGAAGGGGCCCAGTCAGGCCCGTTCTGCTGGCTCACGGTACTGTGAGGTCCGGGTGGAATGAATGACCCAGCAGGAGAGGCTACAGGTCTCTCCAGGGGCCGTTGCAGAGCCTGAAGACAGCCCTGGGCTGCATCTGGGCCACGTTGTGTTTGGTCAGCGCCTCCTCTGAACCAACAGCCACCTTGGGCCCTTGGGACTACTGACCCCGGACAGGGCGCTGCAAGGGATCGATCAGCACAGACCTGGCCTTGGGGCCCTGATTGGTCCCGGCTGAGCGGGGCAAATAGCAAGGTCACCTACAAGCTGCAGGCCCCCTGCCCGGTCTTAGTTCACAGCTGCTGCAGGCAGAGACGGTGGCTCCTCTGTCCCCAGACTGACTGAGCTTGTGAGTGACCCCGAGGCAGAAGAGCCCAGAACCATGTGGAGTCTCGGGGCCCCGTTTCTGCTGCTCACGGCCTGCCTGGTGGTGAGTGCCAGTCCCGTGCTGATGCCACCCAACGACATCCAAGTGCAAGAGAACTTCGCTATCTCTAGGGTAAGGCTGGCCTCTCCGGCGGCGAGGGCAGGGTGCCCGAGCAGGTGGGCCTTGCGGGGTGAGGGGGGGAGTCTTCCCCTCTGGAACTCGGTGGGGGGGGGGGTGGTGTCCGCAGGACTGTCTGAGATTCGCCGAAACTACAACCTATGCCTCTGCCATTCTGTGGGCCTCTGAGCTGATGGTCTCTTGAGTCCTACACCCTCATGTGTGAACCTGCCCCCTTGGTCGGCTGGGGGAACCCGTGCTTCAATTCCTGCCCAGCCCGGAAAAGGCTTTGTGCCAACCGCTGCCCCTGCGGCCCCCTCACAGGGCTTAGCTGTTCGTGACTTCCTGCCCCCCTCCCCAGCCCTTCACCTTCAGCCACTTCCCTCTCCCCACCACCCCCATGACCAGGCCTGGCTGTGGACTGAGATCTGGGGTGGCACAGGGCAGACGTGAGGCATGATGCGGAGAAGAGGAACAGGATGGAGATCAGGCCGATGGGGTTAAGGGGGCTGGGCATTAAGTGGTATGTGGGGGAGCCCCAGGACCACCTTCCAGCCCCAGTTCTGTCCCCAGTCACTGGGTGACCTTGAACAGGACCTTGCCCGCCCAGGGCTCAGTCTGCATGTGGGTATGAGGGGCTCTCAGACCCTTCCAGCTGTGGATTTTGTCTGTGCTCAGAGGCAAGCAAGGGCTGTGGGCGGAGGGGCCAGAGGAGCAGGGTCCTGTGGTCGTCTGGGATGGCGAAGCATAGGAGGGTCACTGGGGTCTTCAGGGATGTGAGGGCTCTTCCAACCCTTTGCCCGGTGTGCAGGAGAAAGGGGCGGCAGGCTTGCCCCGAATTGTTAGTTCAAGGAAAGGAGATCGTTTTTAACACAGAGCTGTGGGCTGCCTCCCAGATGCTGAGCTCCCTGTCCCCGGAGGAGTGAAAGACAGGAGTGCTGCTCCGGGGGCGGTGGTGGACCAGGACCTTCACGCATGGGGATTTGTGCCTCATCCACGTGAGCCGCACAGATCCTGTGCCGAAGCAGAGTAAGGTCTTTCCCGAGCAGGGGGAGCCTTTCCTAGGCTTGCCATGATCACGGAAGTTCCACCGTTAGGCTCCGTCTGTCCTTGAAGTTGAATGGCCTCCACTTAGCTACTGGACATCACAACTGATCCTTAGCATCGAGAGGAGGGAGGGGGGCAGGTGTCTGGCCAGTCGTCTTTGTGCTCCGAGGCAAATCCAGATCCTCAGAGCTCGCGGCTGTCTCCTAGATCTACGGGAAATGGTTCCACGTGGCCATTGGCTCCACCTGCCCATGGCTGAAGAAGTTCATGGACAGGATGTCCATGAGCACGCTGGTGCTGGGCGAGGGGGCGACGGACAAGGAGATCAGCATGACCAGCACTCGTTGGCGGTGAGAGTGGGGATGGGCCGGGGCGGGGGGCGGTGAGAGGGACCAGGGCCCCCCTGCCACCCCTCCCCAGCTTCCGTCCCCACACTGTCCCACCTCCAGCTGGGACCTGGCTCCTGAGCTCCAGGGCCCTCTGCCGCCCTCCTCCAGGCAGAGCCCTGACACATGCCTATTTCGCAACCTGCCCTCGATCCTGCGGTGTCCCTAAGCCCAGTCAGCGCCCTCCCAACCCCCAGGACCTAACCTGGGTGGAGGGAGGGGTGGAGACTCCTCTCTCTGCTGCCGCTGGTCAGTCCACCGTCAAGCCCTGTCCATTCTCTTCCTAAATCCCTCCAGGCTGTCCGCTGGCCCCTTCTTTACCATCCGCACCCTGCCAAGCCGCCTGCCCTTCTTCCCTGGCTGACTATACCACCCGTCTCTACACTTCTCCACACCTCTAATCCCAAACCTTTTACCCAGCAAACAAAAGATCTCTTGAAAACGCGAACCTGCTCAAACCTTTCCATACCTTCCTGTTGCCCTGGGAATAAAATTCAGCTCCTTCCAGGCCCCGCCCAGCGTTCACCAGGGATTCCGTGACCCACCAAGGAGACCTGTCAGCTCTTGAAACCCTCCACCCTCTTGCACCCGATGTTCCTTCTGTTGGCAGAAACTCTCCCCATCTCCCCAGGCTAATTCCTATGGATCCTTTAAGACTCAGGTTCTATGTCACTTCCTCCAGGAAGCCATCCCTGACTGCCACCCTCACCGCCACCACCACCAAGGCTCAGGCTACACACCTTCCTTTGTGCTCTTGGAGCACCTCCTGCTTCTCCCCACTTGGCACTTAGCACACTGACCGCATCTGCCTCTGGCCTGCCCATGGGCCCTGCTCAGTTCTGACGTCCATGAGGGGACAGAGTCCCTCTGGCCCTCCTCTGTATCCTCAGCCTGTAGCACAGTGCCTGGCACATAGAGGCTGCTCAAAAAATGTTAATGAGATAAATAACAGTCACCGTAACAACAGCTAGTACGTGTGTAGTGCTTATTCTAAGCTGTTTTTTAAAAAATGTTTATTTATATTTGAGAGAGAAAGAGAGAGAGCAAATGGGAGAAGGGCAGGGAGAGAGGGAGACATGGAATCCAAATCTAGGCAGGCTCCAGGCTCTGAGCTGTCAGCACAGAGCCCAACACGGGGCTCAAACCCACAAACCACAAGATCACGACCTGAGCTGAAGTCAGACGCTTAACTCACTGAGCCACCCAGGTGCCCCAAAGCTGTTTAATAGTATCTCATTGGATCCTCACAACTGCCACATGAGGTGTCATTCCCATTTCACAGAGGGACCTGGGGCCAGAGAGACACAGGGTAATGAATGAGTAAAAGCATTCATTCATCGCTCTCCCCTCCCTGTGTGTCAGTCTGATGGCCAGATTTGGTTCAGGAAGCTGATGTCCAGGGCTGGCTTTGCCGAAGGAGTGGCACGGATTCCTCCCTTTCTCCTCTGTCCCTCTGTTCCCTTGTATGTGAATGGGTCTCCTAGGACTTCCCTGAGGATTAAACAAGATACTTGGAGGTGCTACTTTCCAATTTACAAAAGTAAAATGTGGAGAGGATCTGTGAGACAGTGGGTGCGGGGACCACAGTCTCTACCAGCGGTTACCTTTCTTTTGGTTGTACATCTCCAGGAGAGGCACCTGCGAGGAGATCTCCGGGGCTTATGAGAAAACAGACACTGACGGAAAGTTCCTCTATCATAAATCTAGTAAGTTGAATTGGAGGGATTCTCCAAGCTCTCCCCTTTGCTGAAAAAGAACCTGATGTGCCTTAACCTGTTTTTCCTTCTGCCTCGGCTCTCTGTGCCCCTACAGCCTTCCCTCCCATTTTCCTGAGATGTCTTCTGGGCTTTCTGTATATAGTCCTCCTCTTTCCCCTCTCTCCCTTCTCTCTCTTGTACTTGTGAGCATCCAGAATGAAAGGATGCCATCACTGAATTCTGATGGCAGCATCAAGATTTCATCAGCATTCGTGGTCGGCATCTGCAATCCGTTGATAAAAATTGTGCTAAGCATCTACCATGTACGGTGTGCATGGTGCTAAGTGACAGAGGGACTTGGATGTGAATTTATTCATTCACGCAGCAGATGTTTATTGACTATGCTTTATGTGTCAAATAACCGTGTTAGAAGTGGAATATATGAATGTTTGGGTAGGTAGGTGGTTGGATAAATGAGTGAGAAAATAAGCAAAGGATTGGTAATTGAGCACATATGTGGATGGCCGATAAGTGAGTTAATCTGACATCTAACAGATAAATTGATGGATTAAAGGGTGGAGGAAAGAAGAGGGGAGAGAGGGGAAGGGGGGAAGACGAGAAGGAAAGAAGGAGGGAAATGGTTTGATGTGTGGAAAGGACGGACGGATGGGATGATGGTGGATGAATCAATGATAAATATATGGAGGAGACGGATGGAGATAGAAGGATGGATGACCAGGTGATGTATGGGTGAATAGGTGAAGGAACTCAGGCTAGAAGAGCCTTCTGACAACTGATCCCTTTGGCCTCCTGCGTCTCCGTGCAGGATGGAACATCACCATGGAGTCCTATGTGGTCCACACCAACTATGATGAGTACGCCATCTTTCTGACCAAGAAATTCAGCCGCCACCATGGGCCCACCATTACCGCCAAGCTCTATGGTAAAGGCGTGGATTAGATAAGACCGCAGGAGTTGGGGGTGGGAGGGGCCTGTTGTGATTTAGGGACGGTGGAGTGGGGAGGGGTCGGGAGTTTGGCTCTTTCCTTCTGCTAAAACTCAGTTGTGGGAAAGGTGGAAACATTTACTCTCCCTGGAGGAGGCAGAGCTCAGTGTTCCATCTGAGGTAGAAGCCTTTTCCCTTGGTCTTTAAAATTCTAGACCCAGAGGATTCCAGAGCTCCCAGGCCCTTAACAGAACCAGCAGAAAAAGTCATGTGTGGAGATTTGGGAGACCTGGGTGGGAGTCTGGGAGGGACACCTTTTCTCGGTGGAGCCAATCTTTCCATAAGTGTATTGAGGATATCACACTGGGCTGAGAGCTTTCAGCTTCTAAGGGGCAGTCACTGCGCATGATAATCCCAGGCCTTGCTAGTCTTGCTAGGTGTCTTCTCTGCTTCCCCTTGCAGGGCGACAGCCACAACTTCGAGAAAGCCTGCTGCAGGAGTTCAGGGAGGTTGCCTTGGGTGTGGGGATCCCCGAGGACTCCATCTTCACGATGGCTGACAAAGGTAAATGAGACCCCACCCCCACCCCACCTCACATTTCTGTCTCCTCCTCACCCTTCACGACCCTCAGAGAACACCTTCCCAGGCCCTGGGTCTTTCCTGTAACCCTCTGTGACAAGTAGGATTTTAGTCCCCTCCCCTCTTTACAGAGAAGGTAGCTGGGGGCCCCACATTTGCTCCAAGTCACACAGCAAACGTACTTGGCAGAGCTGAGACTGGAACCAGTTCGGCATTCGGCCTAGTGCCACCTGTCAAAGTGAGGTTATAGCCAGAATCCATAGGTACCTCTTATTTTTAAAAAAAAATTTTTTTAAAAATGTTTTATTTATTTCTAGGAGAGAGAGAGAGAGAGAGAGACAGCGTGAGCAGGGGAGGGTCAAAGAGAGAGGGAGTCACAGACTGAAACAGGCTCCAGGCTCTGAGCTGGCAGTCAGCACAGAGCCCGACGCGAGGCCCGAACCCACGAACCGCAAGAACATGACCTAAGCGAAAGTCGGACGCTTAACCGACTAAGCCACCCAGGCGCCCCACATAGGTACCTCTTAGAAGACAATCCAGTACTGGGGTCAAGAGTATGGGCTTGAAATAGAGTCCGAAATTCAAGTTGAGCTGTATGGCTTCTGGCTAGTCAACCTTCTGGAGCCTTATTTTCCTCAGCTGTAAAATGGGGCATAACACTGCCTCTCTTATAAGTTGCTGTGAGAAGTCAGCGAGATAAAGCCTTTAAATACAATAGCACCGTGCCCAGTGTGTCTGGTAAGTGCTAAGTAAGTGTTAGCTATTACTGTTCTTGTGAGGGTGCTGATGGCGATGCTGGTGCAGCCACCAGCCTGTCGCTTTTCCCATGAATGACCTTGAGCAAGCCATGTGAGTGGAGCCATTCATGAGGTGGGCTAACGCACAAGACAGTTCCCAGCGGAGTGCCCACCTGGCAGTCAGCAGCATGATGAAAGACACAAAGCCCTCTCTGGGCCTTGGCCCTCTTATTCATCTCTCTCTCCTGTCCTGGCCTAGGTGAGTGTATCCCTGGGGAGCAGGAACCAGAGCCCTCTCCACTCATGGTGAGCACCTCTTTTTCCCACCCCATTCCCACCCTGCCTGCTTGATTTTTGCTGCCCTTATTAGGTCCCCCCCGTGGTGGTGCGTGGGTCATTAACAGAGGTTGAGAGAAGGCAGTGATAGGCATGGGGTCTTGAAGTCAGTACCTCCCCCGCCCTCCCCAGGGCTCAATCTCAGATCTACCATCTGGGCCAGTTGCTCCTCCATCCAGACCTCACTTTTCCTCATCTGTGAAATGGGGTAGTTACACTTAACCTTCCATGGGTTACAATTCATGACGTATTGGAAAAGTTCTTAGCATAATGCCTAAAATCAGCAAAATACTCAATAATGAAATGATGATACTCAGCGCTTAGTAAATAAAAGATAAAGTCAATTGATCTCTAAAAACATCAGCAATCCTGAGAGCAGACAGCTTCTCAGCCAACTCCTCTCCTATTCTGCCTTTTGAGTTTTTTTCTGAGCTTCCTTACTCTTCTGTTTCATTTTCCTGCCTTTACCATATTGATTAAGCTTTCTTCATTTTTTTTCTCTGATTATGTAGAAATTATATATCTGGACTTATTCTACTGAAGTGTGTGTGTGTGTGTGTGTGTGTGGATGTGTGTGTGGGTGTGCATATCATGTATAAATTTTCAAGGCCATGTTTCTAAACAAATACAGATTACAAATATATTAGAAACAGTCTCAAAAATTTTTAAAATACAAGAAAGTAAAAAAAAATAACAGTCTCCTTACTCCTACATAGAACCAACACTATTAACATATTATTTGTTTGCTTCTGTATTTTTAAAGAAAAACTAGCATTGATTTTATGAAAACCAACATGTGCTCATTATAAATTAAAATTTAAAAAAAGGTAACTAAATAAAAATAAAGAATTAAAATACTGCTGAAAAGGATATAAAATAAGAGTTTAAAAAACGCCACCACCCAAAAACTACCAATATTCACATTACTGCAGGAAATTTGGCATGTGCTCATGTGGAGGGAAGGATAGAAGGAATGCACAGATTTATGCACCAGATTTAGGCATACTATTATTAAATGGGATGATATTACAGATGCTATTTCGAGTTTTAAAAAGCATTCGTTGTAGTTTTATTGGACTTAAAAAATGAGCGGACTTTTGAACTTCAAATTAGCATCTGTCGCCATCTTTTGCAGTCACTGAGTAAAAGTTCTGTAATGGATTCTACACTCACTCTTAGTGACTATAATCACAGCTTCTCCATTCTTGAGTTACTTATTTCTGTTAATCTCTTTATTAGTGCCATTTCTTTACCAAGTGGTGTTTTCAAGGAGGGTTCATGGGTGTTTTAATCCCTGGATTCTTCCCTGTTTGAGATAAATCCGCCCATTTATCTCAAACAGGGAAGATAACTTGAATGGCATTTTGCTTCGGGCATCACATTCTTGGATCATGTTTCCTTCCCCTCAGAACATTGTCTGCACTGCTCTATTGTTCTCAAGCCTCATTATCACTCCAGGAAAGCCTGAGGCCAGCCTGATATTTCTTCTTCTTGTAAGCAGTTTGTTTCCTCTGCCCAGATGCCTGGACAAACTTTATCCTTGAAGTCTGCATCTTTTTTTTTCCTATTTTTTTAAAAGTAAGCCCAATGTGGGGTGTGAACTCACGATCCTGAGATCAAGAGTCACATGCTCTACTGACTGAGCCAGCCAAGACACCCCAAAGTCAGTATCTTAACAATGAGGTGTCTTGGTGTTGAGATTTCCATATCAAAATTTCCTGGAATAGTGAACCCTTCCCATCCACAGATTACATTTTTTCTGTGTTTTAGGGAACTCTCTTGCACTATGTGGAATTCATCTTCTATTCCCTCTTTGGGTTTTGCTACTATGGGAAACACTTGTCACATCCTGGAGCATCTTTGTCTTCCACACATCCTAGGTGTTCTCAGTTGCTTTCATTTGTATTCACTGGGCTTCTCTCAGGATTCTCACTAGTCTTTCTTCTGGGACAGTCATTCCATTTAGCAGCATCTATTTGGTTCCTCGTTATTTCTCATTTATTCATTAGCTCTGACTGTATGTTGTCTTTGTTCTCAGTTTTTTTTTTTTCAATCTAGGCCTGAATTTTATCTTTTATTGTATTCTGTTGTGTATCATTTTTGTCTTCGAGTCTTGTTTTAATACATACATGTTTTCATTAAGTAATTCTATAGCTTGAGGCCATTGAAGAATTTCCTTCAGCTTGTTGAGTTGTATTTTCTTCTACATTGGTGTCATAGGTGGAGTTTCCCAGATCAACACCTGTGGAACAGAAGGTGTTAAGGGAGAGTTGGGCAGGAGAAACAGAGCTGTGATGTAGTCATGATGCCTCAGCCAACCATGTGGGAGCTCTAGAACTGGGGGTGGGGTGGGGAGCCCTTTGGCATTGTCCCATGATGGTGCTGAGGGTTGGGGCCTTAATACTCAGATGTTGATCATGTTCTGGGGATCAGTCTGGGGAGGAAGCATGACCTTGAATGAGAGGGGTCCCCTTAGCTGAGGCAGTTTCCAACAGGGGCTGACAGCTCAGGCTGGGAATTTAAGTCCATTCCTTAGGGGGGGGTCTAGGCAGTTCATGACAGGGGCCACCACAGTCAGGCTCTCCCTCTGGTGCAGGCTACTTTTTCATTTCAGAAACAGGTCTAGATAGTTTCTGTGCCATTTCTTTCTTATCTTGTTCCTGCTTAGTTTTGGCCTGTCTGTTGTGATATGGTGGGGTTGGGGGGATTCATTGATTCCTTGACCCTTTCCCCAATAAAACTGAGCTGAGCCCCCTCCTACCCAGTGTAGTCTAAGGTCTGGGTATTTTGTGTTCCATCTACTTTTCTAAAGTCCAAGGAAAGGGTGGAAAGGAGAAGGGGTGGAAGAGCTTTCCTATGGTGTGCCATCTTGGTTGGAATACCCTTGCTTGCTTTCTCTTTTGAAGAACTACGTGGGGTTCATTCCACCTGGTCAGGGCAGTGATGTACATCTGTCCCATGTCAACACCCCCAGTGCATTAGATCATGTAACCCCAGAACTTTCACTTAGAGAGAGTCAGCCTCTAGTCTGTCTCCTCCTTTCTTCCCAGAAATCATCTTCACCACTCCTCTGTCAAAAGAGGAAAAAGATAGTGTCCCTCAATTTCCTTTTCTCAGGATTTGGGAGTCTTAGAATAATCAGAAATTTGATGACTTAGGAGTGAGAGGGCAGAGTTAGGAGCTGACCATCCCATTCAGCTCCAAAATACTTGATTTCTTTCCTAGATCAACAGTTTTACTTTTTGCTTTAAACTACGTCCCTTTCCTTGACTGAGTAATGTTGACGAACATTTGGAGATTGGTATTCTGAATTCATTATTTTGCTGTTAGGAATTCGAAAAGGCAATTTTGAGGGAAATTTAGCATACCTTCCATTTCTTCTTTCCAGGCTTCCCACATGTCTGATTTTGTGGATGTAATCTGAGGCTGACATTTATATTTTTCACCTTTTGTTTTGAAAATTACATTTAACATTTACATTGAGTTATGTGACCATTGTAACAATCATTTAACCTTTTCTCTCTGTTTTATTGGCTTTATCATTTACCATAATTTCTTGCTGTCACATCATCCATTTTGTTGTACTTAAGTTCCCCTCTCAATTGGTGGGAATATTTCTTTTTTGTATGTTTAAGATTTTATTTTTAAGTAATCTCTATGCTCCATGTGGGGCTTGAACAACCCCCAAGATTAAGAGTCACGTGTTCCAGGGCAAGTGGGTGCCTCAGTTGGTTAAGCGTCCAACTTCAGCTCAGGTCATAATCTCACAGTCCGTGGGTTTGAGCCCTGCGTCATGCTCTGTGCTGACAGCTCAGAGCCTGGAGCCTGCTTCTGATTCTGTGTCTCCAACTCTCTCTGTCCCTCCCTAGCTTGCGCTTTGTCTGTGTCCCTCAAAATAAGATAAAGACATAAAAAAAAAAAAAAAAAAAAAGAGTCACACGTTCTGCTGACTGAGCCAGCCAGGCGCTATGGAATATTTCTATAATATTCCATATAGTTTGTTTTGTTTTGTTTTTTCCTGGATAAACACATGGGTGACAAACTACTGGATCCTTGCATATTTGAAAAATTTGTGTTTATCATATGGTCAACAGCTTGGAGGAGTACAGAATCACTGGGTTATAATCTTTTCTCTCTTGTAAACTTCAGATGTTGCTTGCGCTGGAGTTTCTGTCATTTAATGCTGCTATTTACTCCACGGGCCATTGGGCTCTCTATCCTTTGTCTCTAGGAAATGTCTAGGTGGGGCTCTTCGTTAATCTTGCCTCATTCCCTTTGACCTCCATTTATAATTGGACAATTCAAGTCTTCCTTCAACTCCAAAAAGTTTTCTTCTGTTATTTCTATATCGATTGCCTCTCCTTCTGGAATTTCTACTATGTGAATTTATGTCTTATAATCACTAACCAGTTTATTATCTCTACAGTGCAGTAAAATTCAACAAAATCCTTTCCATCTCCAGTAACTTCCTTCTTCTTTCATTCTGTTCATTTCCACAACTGTTGGCCCCTGTGATACTGATGCAGTGTCATCTTGAAGTCAATGATGGTTTAAGTTTTCTCCTGTTTCTTGCTGTCCTCCTGCGTGTGATGGAGATATTTCTGCAGCTCAACCTGATCCTTCTGAGCAGCTATTTCAGTTGTGCCCCGATTTTTTATCTCTTCCTTCATCCTCACCAAGGAAGGCCTATGTGCAAGCAGCTTGAGAGACCATTGGGAGTCCCTGATCACAGCTTTTAGTTGCACCCTAAAAGGAGAAGGGCAACACTGAAGGTTACTACAGATTTACTTTTTCAGATTGCAGTCTCTCCCATGCCTGCTGGCTGGCAGTTTCCCTGCTCACCCCCTTTTTAATGGCCTTGGGTTCCTGCCTCAGTGGCCTCTGCCTCTACACTCAGAGAACCTGTTGGCAGCCTCGGCAGCCTGCCCTGCTCTTTGGTCCCCTCCACCCCCCACCACAGCTAAGCGTGTCAGGGTCAGTCTGGGGTCCCTTCTCCATACCTTCTAGGTGGCTTTTCCTTTGCAAGCAACTAGCGATGATGGTCTGGTCAGCTCTTCCTGCAAATCAGTCACACCCGCACTCCACTGTGTAGAAATGCCTTCAAGTTCCAAGCATGGAAATGCTCCTCTGCCGTGGTTTCCAATTCAGATAGATCTTTCCCTCATTGTCTTATTCCTGTGTGCACTTCACCTAGAATTTGGATGCGGGGTCAGGGGGTGGGGGGGCGGTGTATGTTCTACTTCATGGTTCTGATTTTTCTACCAGACTAGAAGCTTATCTTGTGATGCCCATTCTGGGATTCAGGTTGATGCTTTTGGGAAAACAGTCCATTAACCAGTATAGTAACTCTGCTTCTGTCCCAATTCCCAAAGCAAATGGTTCTTATATATTCCAGGGGTACAGGTGAGCAAAAGTGGCAAGGTCTCCACAACAGCTTCTCTTTCTCTCCACCCCAGAGAGCCCGGCGGGCTGTGTTGCCCCAGGAAGAGGAAGGATCAGGGACCGGGCAGCTAGTAACGGATTTCAGCAAGAAGGAAGGTAATGACCGCTTGCCTTTCCACCACTTCTGTCACATGCCAGAGAGGAAGGGCCCACGGGTGGCTCACATGGGCTGCTGTCACCACCATGAAGTCTCTTTCCTATTTGTCTGCTGGTCAAGGACTGGGGCTAGGAAAGGCAAACCAAAGCCTCTGCGCGGTGCCAGGGGTTGTAAGGGGAAAGAGGGGAGCGTAAGGTGTGGTTCCTGGGCTCAGGAACATTCTGCTCCACGATGAGCAGTGAGTTCTGGCCCTATCTGTGCCACCGTGTGGCCTCCTCACCTACGTTTGCTCCTCTGCAGTGGATGACAGCCTGCTGCGCCCACTATCAGGGCTTTGGCAGGAGCGAGTTGGAGGAGGATGTGAGGATGCTCTGTGTAGTGGACAGTGTTCACGACCGACTCACCCCCAACCTGCTCAGCAAACGCTGAGCCCTGCTCTACCCTGTGCTGGGAACTGGGGGTCATGGAGACAAGCCTGTGTCTTTTTGGAACTTGTGGTCTGGTAGGAGAGGCGGGCAGGGAAGACACTGATGGACCCAAAAGGCATGGTTAGCTCAGACGGTGGGGGAGCTCAGAAGATGGAGAAGTCGGGATCAAGGAGGACTTCCTGGATGGAGGGGGAATTCATGCCATGTCCAGGTATCGAGGCAGGAGTGTATGGAGGAAGGCACTCCAGGGGCAGGAGCAGAGGGTGCAGAGGCATGGGAGTGGGGCTTCAGTGAGAGGTCAGGCTGGCTGGTATGGGTGCCCCTGAGTGTGTCAGCTGCTATTATTAGCCTCTGGATGGACAAGACCAACACAGGGGATGGTGGGTTATGGAGAGGAATGGGCACTGATTTTGGAGTCCATGGGGTTTTAAATCTCAGCACTGTGTGACCCTGGGCAAGTTGCTTTACCTCTCAGAGTCCATTTCCTCGTCTATAAAAGGGAGTTGACGATCCTTCTTCTGAGTGCGGAGGGGAAAACTAAACTAGAATGGTGCATGTGAAGCATCCAGCCTGGTGACAGGTATACAGTAAGCACTCAGTAAGAGCTGCTGTTCTGCCCCTCCCCAGATGCCTGCCAGCTGGGCTACGCAGAAGGCCCTTGCCTGGGGATGGTCATGAGGTATTTCTATAACGGCTCCTCCATGGCCTGTGAGACCTTCCAGTATGGCGGCTGCCTGGGCAACGGCAACAACTTCGCCTCAGAGAAGGAGTGTCTGCAGACCTGCCGAACCGTGGGTGAGCCCGGGCCCCCGGCCCCCATGCATGCGGCACCCCACAACCCTATCCTCCCAACAAGGCACCTGCCAGATGAGCGAGAGGATGTTCCAGGGGTGGAATCCAGGGCAAGCTTCCTGAAGTCATGAGAACCACATATCTGGATGTGGGTGACCCAGGGAAGTGACTGGTTTCCGTGGGCCCCAGCTTCCCAGTCCAGAGGGACCCGGTGCTCTGCACGAGCGGGGCACCCTGGTTCGGGCCGTTTGCGGGGCATCTCGGGTCAGCCGCGCCGAAGAACGACTGACGCTCTACACCTTCCTCCCCCACAGCGGCCTGCAACCTCCCCATAGTGACCGGCCCCTGCCGAGCCTTCCAGAAGCTCTGGGCATTCGATGCTGTCCAGGGGAAGTGCGTCCTCTTCACCTATGGTGGCTGCCGAGGCAATGGCAACAAGTTCTACTCGGAGAAGGAGTGCAGGGAGTACTGTGGCGTCCCCGGCAATGGTAGGAGGCCCCGTGGGTGCTGCTGGGTCAGGCAGGGGAGCCCTGCTAGGACGTGGGGGTCTGAAGAGGCGGGTTCTAGACTCCACCAGATGACCAGCCCATCCACTCTCCGGGCCTGTTCCTGTCTGTTCAATGGGGCGAAACCCCAGCTGGGACCCGGCGCCCAGGGAGGCGCCGGGCAGACCCGAGCCGGGCAGAGCCGGCCTGCCTTCTGGGGCTGCCGTAGGAGTAGCTGATTTCACAGTGGCTGGCCAGTGAGGACCTGGCTGATGGCGGCTGTCACTAGGACTGATGGCCGTGCTGTGATGACCGCAGTAACAGCATGCCACGGGGGCAGCGGCCGTTTGATTTCCGAGCCGCGTGTCCCCACTGGGAGAAGGGGCTGAAGACCAGCTTGTGCTGTGGCGTGCGGGTTGGAGACAGCGGGTCATGCAGCAGAGGACCTCTGGCTTGGGCCCCAGGCTCAGGCCCCAAGTCGGCCAGAGCTGCCTTCCCTCCTCCGTGAGGCGTCCCCCTCCCCAATGGTCCCCATCCTCAGACCCCCCGGGCGAGCCCCTCACCTACTCGCCGAGCTTCTCTGTGTCCACAGGTGACGAGGATCTTCTGCACCTGGCCAACTGACCGGCCCTCAGGCCACACGGTGGCGGGAAGGGTGCGGGCTGCGTCTGTCTCAGTGCCCCACGGCAGGCCGGGCCGGGTGACCCGGGTTCAAATAAAAACAAAATCACAGACTCCTGAAACCCCGCGTCGTGAGTGTTCATTGTCATCGGGAAGTGTGAGCTGTACAGGGAGGGGAGACAAAGCCGGGGGGGACAGCAGTTACCCCAGCTTCCCTGGAAGGGAAAACGTGGACTGAACTTGTCCTCGGGACGTGAAACTGGCTGTGCAGATGGAGACCCAGAGCTGTTCTGTTCACTCCACAACACTGTCGAATGGGACTTATACCCAGAAAAGAAGAGACGCCCGTGGGGACCTGTTTGTGGGAGAGGTTTGGACAGGAGTTCAGAAGAGAGGACCGTGGTCTCTGTGCCCAGACCCCGGGCAGGTCACGGCCAGTGGCCGCCTTGCCCGAATCAACAACCCCTGCCCTTTGCGGCACCGACACCCATGCCAGCATTTTACCGAGGCCACAGCCATGTCCCACCCCGGCTGCCAGGGGCCAAGGCGCCTCGGGCTGTTCTCCACAGGGCCTTGGACATCCCGTCTCTTGGGATCGGCACTCTGGCCCTTTGCCCCGGAAGAAGGTTCCCTGACCTTTGTTCACAACCAGCGAGGTACAGACCAGAGCCGGCAGCCCTCAGCTTGGCCTGGCTTGTTCTGCCTTGAGGAAGAGGAGAGGGGCTGTCCAGGGTGGCTCGGTCCACATTCTTAGCCGAAGAATGTGACTCCGGGAGCTTCCAGGCAAGATATGCTGGATTTACAAACACCTGACTTCGAAATCTGTCCTGCGAGCTCCGTCCACGCAGAACCCTGACCAGTGCCGCTCCCGCTGCCGCCGAGGACAAAACCCCCGGCCCCGCGCTGCCCTGGCAGCACTGACACGGGCCACGGAGGCACACCTCCTCGCTGCGGGCTGAGCAGCACACTAAGGGTCAAGGGTGCCTCTCGTGCCATTAGCCCATTTGCTTAAGAGACCCGTCAGGAAGGAAGAAGGCCCCCTGGCTGGAACACATAAAGACCCCCGGCTTCTCCCCCAAAGTCCCAAGCTTGGGGCTTCGAGGTTCCAGCAGAGAGGACCGTCCTGAGGGACGATGTCTGTGGTCATGGCCTGGACTCTGTGGGCAGGAGTGGGTGGGGCAGGAGCAGGGACACAGGTGATTGTTCAGGGAGAAAGGACAGGCTCTCCGACCTGGAACTGACCAATGTCATCACATCTTGCGTCCTTGCCTTGCTTCCCTCCACGCGTGCCACGCATACCAGGGCTGGCCGCTCGCGGTGGCTCGAAGAGGGCTATTTTGAAGTGACCTAAAGGACAAGTGCCAAAGCCAGAGGGAGCAGGCCACAGGTGGGAAGGCCGGCTGCAGCCAGGACATGCGATGCTGGGGCGTAAGGTTATCTTCTACAGTTCTGAATCCACCATTGAAAAACAGGCCTTCCGGGCATGCCTGGGGGGGGGGGGCTCGGTCATCTGAGCATCTGACTCTTTATTTCCTCTCAGGACATGAGCTCACGGTTTGTGAGATCGAGCCCCAAACCAGGGACTCTGCATATAGTGCAGAATCTGCTTGGGGTTCTCGCTCTCTGCCCCTCCCCCACTCACACACATGGTCTCTCCCTCTTAAACAATAAAAAAAAAAAAAAAAAATTAAAAGTGGGCCTTCCATTAAAAAATCCTTTGAAATCCGCCCCAGCAGCTCTGGGACTGCACCTTGCACACCATGCGGAAGGCACTGAGGGTGGGGATGGTCCCTCTGGACGTGGCCTCCTTGCAGTGCCCCTGCTGGCCTGCCAGGTCCTAGTGACAGGTACGACAGGTGGACAGGTGTACCTGGGTTGAAGCACACCTGTGACCCTGAGTCAGGAGCCCAAGGTGCTTGTCCCAGACGGCACCACAATCATTCTCTGTCAGTGGCTGCCTGGAAGACTCACCTGGTTCTTAAACAGCCTCCCTTCAAATTTTCTCCTAAAGACACTGGTCACATTTGTTACACAATTGATGTGCCTGCTCAGTAAAGAAACATACCCCCCTTTAAAAAACACCTTTAGGGGTGCCTGGGTGGCTCAGTTGGATAAGCATCCGACTTCGGCTCAGGTCATGATCTCACGGTTCAGGAGTTCCAGCCCCACGTTGGCCTCTGTGCTGACAGCTCAGAGCCTGGAGGCTGCTTTGGATTCTTTGTTTCCATCTCTCTTGCTCTCAAAACTAAGCAAACATTAAACAAACAAAAATGCCCACATGGCACACTTCCCAGGCAATTCCCACGCGATGGCGCCAAGGGCAGGGCTGGCGGCCCAGCTCGGCAGCCCATCCTTGAAGCTCCACGATTCCGGGGATTTGCTGATCCGTGTGCCGCCTCCTCTTCAAGGACAGCACCTCTCATCTGGTTGAGGCGAGGGTACAGCAAGACCGCGCCTGCCTTTGAACGGACCGTTTGCACAGCTGCTCTCCCTTCTGGCTCGCTCGGGCCACTGCTAGCCTTCTCCTGGCGTCTTCTCCTTCCACTTGCTGGAGACCGACTTCAGCGAAGCGCTGATAGGCGTGTCTGGAGTGTGGCCTGCGAAGTCCACCCAGGCCGGTACCGCGAGGCTCACTGTGGCAGGCACAGATTCCAATTGTGTTTGGAGTCACATGCACCCTCGGTATTCTGGCAAAGCCATGGGCACCCTTCCCCAGCCTGGGGACGATACAACACATAGTCACACATGTCACCTGGGAGGTCAACGCTGCCAGGTTCGGGGTCCCAAGAGGCACACAGTGACTGCTGCACAAGGCACACTTGGATGTGTCCTTTAGGCACTGGGCTCGGACCCTGATGAAGTTCGTCCTTCCGAGGGACAATGGTCCTTAAAGCAAGGCCCGCAGGAGCCACATGTTTCCCTCATTTATCAACACATCTGCTGTGCCAGGTCTGGTGCTGGTTCTGGGTAATGGGCTCAGGTGAGAAGCAGACTACCGGGGCCTTACCGTGTCCCCTCGGGACGGGCTCAGTCACCCCAGGGATCCTGCCTCCGGTCACATCTCTACTCACCAGGGCCCTGCTCCTCACGGGATGACACGGCCCAACGCCAGACCCAAGAAATAACACGGCACACTGCCATCTTCCTAAAGGTTGTTTTATTGTAAAACCATAAATACAACACTGACATGAAATCATTTAAGTAACTGATCCTCTCTAACCATTAAAAGGATGTCTTTTTACCTTGGCATCGACCAACTGGGAAATAATGTTGCAAGAATTCGGGGGGTAGGGGGTGAATCCTGGGCTGGGGCTTTTGGCGATTTAAGGAACCAAGCGGAACCTTCCTCTTCTTCCTGGGAATGTCCCACGTTTGGACAAGAACAGACAGGTAAAAACAGCAACATTTAAACAGCTCAGTTTTAAATTTTATTACTTTGTAAAAAATCTTTTTTTTTTTTTTTTCCTGTTCCTTTCCTCCATTTCACATCGGAAAAAGTTTTAAACATCACGAAACGGATTTGGCTGTAGATGGAGATACGGTACCAAAACAAAGTGAAACGAAAATCCCAAAGGAAGAACAAAAAACCCTAAATGAACCCTCAAGTTTGGTCTCGGGGGTTTACGTATCACAAGGACCATCAACTCAACCCCCATGCAATGTGACTCCTTGGAGAGCTGTTGGATCCATGCCAACGACACAGGAGACCGCGATCAACGTCTTTCGTTAATTAACACAGCAAGGGTGACGCTAGGTAACTTTTTTTTTTTTTTTAAATACAGTACATGGTACGCAGGGTCCCAAGATGGCCCTGCCTAAACCCCTCGCGGAGACTGGAGCCAAGCACTGGCTGTTTATAAAAATATTGTGTCGCTACAAAAGTATAAATTAATGCTACCGGTATTAAGAAATATTAAACACATAAAACTTATAAGGATTAAGAAAAATATTCATTAATACCTGTAGAAAACTCTGGCCTAAAAAAGATATTTTTTTTGTGTTTGTTTTTTTGTAAATTTTTTTTTTGTATTTTTATTTTAAGATGACTTGAGTTTCTTGCACTCGAGAGAGACACAGTCAGATGTGCCTATGGTATTGCCTAGAACATCTTCACTACTGAGAAAGGATGGGGTGCACGCACGTGGTTACTGAGCAGGGCGCGGGGAGGGAGGGGCACCAAGGCTTTCTCGAGATTTACCTGATGTGAAAGAATCACCAATGCGAAGTTGCGGGGAAAAGAAAAAAGGCAGGATCAGAAAACAACGGAAAATAATTTACGCTTCTTAAAAAATATCTCTGCTTCAGGTGGTTGTACAAAATGATATTCCTGATGCTTGGGATCTGAATGGCCCCGGACGCACTGCCCGGCGGGTCCCCTCTCTCTCCTGGCTGGCGAGTCCCAGCCCCATGCCAGTCCGCGAGCTGGCTCACCGCCTGGGAACCGGCCCCCACCTCCCACCCCGGCTGGGCGGGAGGGAGGGCCCCAGGCGGGGACCGGCTGGCACCTGGGGTGTGGGAAGAGGCCTCCTTCCGGCTGGCCGTGGACCCCATGGTCTCTGCCAACCTGGACTTCAGGAAGCGCCACGGGGATCCCAGGCCCCTGAGGTTGCGGACAAGGCTGGGCTGTGCCCCTTTAAGGAACTTTGGTTCGAAGAGTCAAGGTGGCCGGTGGGGACGCACGGGTGGGGAGGACCCTCGTGGGCCCTGATGCTGACGCCCAACTGCAGACCTAGCAAATCCTTCTCTGGAACAGGACCTGGAGCTTTAAAGCGACACCCATGGTGGTGGCGGCGGCCTCGGGGGCACGAATCTAAGCGAACAGCGACCTAAGGATCTTCCCCCTCATCAAAGCGGGAGCAGGTGCCTCTCACACAGAACCCACAGGCCCCCTCCAGGGAAAGGCAGGCCTCTACGGACCACGATCCTCAAACCCAAATGAGAGTGGAGGAAAAACAATACCACCACCACCACCAAACCCTCCAGGGAACCCTGAACAGGGGAAACCGGGAGGGAAACCTAAGAGGGAAAGACACTGTATCATTGGTTCACCATAACTGGCCTAGCAAACATTAGCCACAGTGAAGAGAGGGGCAGGCCCCTTCCCAGTCCTCCCACCACCGGC